CCCGGCACAACACACACACACACAAAAAAAGAAAAAAAGAGTACGAAAATGGAAGCAAAAAGATCCTGAGAATTTAAGAATCAGGTGTACAGATAAGAACAAGAAATTTCATGCTAGGTACAAAGTTGGCTATTTCCCATACTGTTGACCAAATGACACCAGAATTCCTAGGGTGTATAAGGGGTGTAGAAGTATATCAGAGGGTAATTTAGGTCGGTCCATGACATGTGACCAAAAATGAATATAGGGATCTAACACACGTTTTAGAATCGGTGCTTAGTATAATTACCACATTCCATATATGGGAGTCATAAGAGAAATGTGCATCTTTGACTATTCGTCTTCCTCCTTTTAATTGACTGCCCTCGTGAGACAAACAAATACCAATCGCTTAAAACTCTTCCGCTTGTTTTTCGATCGGCTTGTAAGATTATTCTTCCTGAATTCTACCATGGTTCTTGTCCTTGTACCTCTTCTCGTCTAGTATGTCCACACTTTTTGAACACCCTATTTTTATAACGAGGTTGTATGTTGCGAGCTGATTGTGTCTTGATAGACACGAATTACATATATGTTTGCTATTTTTCAAATTCGGATATACAATAATTGACAGAGAATGGACACACACATACACACATAAATAGTATGCATTTCTAATAGCTGTAACAGTCATAATCTTATTTATTCCCTGTTTAAAGCTAGACAGAGCCTCCATGCATCCTTGTGGCTTATCCATATACTTGTTTCAAATTTGAAGAGTTAATTCATAGTGGACATAAAAGAACACCTTAATTTCTTTTTTAGAATCATTGTATCAAACACCTTTTGCGTCCCCCTGGTCCATGTGCTTCATGCAAAGCGCCCCCTCCACATGAACCAAGCAAATCTTCCCCCTTCCGAAGGATGGGCGTGGCCCTTGGTCCTTTCACATGAACACCCCAAGCAAGCATCCAAACTGGGCCTTTCACACAAGTGTGCTAGACCTTGGTTGATTTATCAACGGGGCACCTTTTACAGGTTACTCCCAAACCTTATAACTTGATGAAACAACATGTTGCTACATTACACTTATGTAATTTGTGATCAACGGCCATGAATCCAACATCGCCATAGTGAATCACTAAAAATATTTATACGAGAACTTGTATTTTAGATTTCACATGATGAATAATGCTCAAAGAAGGGGCATCCCTACATACAACACACAAGCCCTGAAGATCATGCCTAGTAGTCCATACTTGACGTGTAGAAATGTCTCTTCCTTGAGCACTACTGCTCCTACAAGATATCTCAAATACTATCAACTATAGACAGGCACATGAATAAGCTATATTTAGAACATATCATACCCTCTCCTCCAAAGACTATACCTCCATTTCTTAATATTTGATGAACTAACACATCCCAAAATGGCATATATCTATCTATGCAACCTACAAGGCTACAACCAGGAGAGACGAGATCCGAACACTTCCAAATCATAATTAACACATTTATTAGAATCGTTGTTATTTGTGTCAGTGCCACTGACATTTTCTTCTCATCTTACTTGTTTATTGGGATATATATTGATTTGAATACCTTTTTTTCCATAAGATCAATTATTATTGATTTGTTATACCTTCATTCCTTTGTTTCTTATTACTATATGAAGAACTCATGCAATAGATAAGAAAATAGTTCAAGTGTTATGTACCAAGGTATAGAAACTTTATAAGATTGCTATATATTTACAGTTATGTCATTTTCAAAATAGACCTTACATTTCAGCATATACAAATTGTATTTATATCCCAAGTTAACTGATATGCATAAGCAGTGCAAAATAATCAATATATGCATATCATGCAAGGGGTGCCACTCCACACATAGAGGGCACGAGAAGGACCATACGATGCATCCAAAGGCCATACATTAAAGAAATCCAACATTAAATATAATAAACAAATGTGTACTTGAAGTATTTTATCAAATATATTAAAGATGGAGGATTTGTTCACATATAAGGATGATCATATAACTAAAAACCACATCCGCTCTTAAACAAATGATATTTAGATGGTTATGGGTATTTAAATTTGGGATGTAGTATCATAAAGGAAAGAGGGATACACAAGGACCAACAATCACACGTAGTTAAGCATATATCACTAGAATACTAATATATTTGCCACATAGAAACCCATCAATACAAAAGGTTCATATATGGAAGTTCAATAATTACATAAGCACCCAGGTAATTATAAGTTTTTTACTCCAAAATATAGCTTATCAACCAAAACCACATCAAGAATCAAATGAAGCAAGTGGAAGTATCCATCCATATTCTCTCAATCCATTATAACAAAAATAAATGCAGAAATGTTAACAGATCAATCAACTAGAAACCACTAACAAGCTTCCCGTGTACAAATCGTTAAGCACATTAAATAAAACCTAGAATCACATCTAAAACAGAATCTGTAACGAAAAGTAAGAGAGAAAAGTTCGTGAATGCTTACTGAATCCATCTTCAACAAGGTAATTAAAGGTGTGTCCATCGCAGTTGTAAGTAAACTTGTTATTAGTTGCCGGAAGCTTCTGTAGGCACTGGAAAGCAATAGAAGTGAAATTTCCTGTAAACTCTGTATACTCGGCAAGAATCACGGTGCCTCTAGACACGAAACTGTAGATCAAAGACTGTTGGCCCATGATGATTCTAACAATATTGATCTACAAAACCCTTTCGGAGTAGAAAACCCTAGCGCTTGGAGAAATGGAAGATCTGATTTTGGGGAAAAAGAGATTTTGGGTTTTCGAAATAGTAGGCTGAAAGGAACTCTTTTGACGAAATCCTTCGAATTTCAATTCAAAATACAAAGGATAAAGGTGGTGGTCAAGTGTGTTTTTTATATATACATGTTTTTCTTTAATAGTCTAATATAACGAAATATATCTCAATTTTAATATTTTATTTTATTATTTATCTTTATTAATTTTTATAATATGATTTTATGTGTTTTTAAAAAAGCAATAATAATTTTATTTT